AGTTCATTGAACTATATAGAATGTATAAAGGAGAATTAGGGTACTCTCATACTATATATATACTGAATTGACCCTTGTCAGGGGCTAGGGAGCTTACTACTAGGCTTAGTGGGGCTCTCTTTTGTTATATACCCCCTAGGCGGGCGGCTTTAGCTGCTTGTCTGTCTATAAGTGAGCTTTGGGTAAAGCTTTATAAGCTTAGGGGCTGTTTTTTGATAGTCTTTTGGGGTTATTATATGGTTATATATGATTTAGGGGCCTAATATATATAAATATCCTCATTTTTCAAGCAATTCTATACAATTTTCTCCTTTAGGTATCTTTATTTTGTAAGTTCTTCTTATAATTATATACTTACGTATGTGGCTTTAAAGAGCTTGTAAAGCTAATGTAAGTAGGAGATTATCATTTATAATAGCCTATATCAAGTAGACTATATCTATGTATAAAGTATGTACTGCTGCCGTTTATGCCGTAGGTAAGTTATAAGATTTTGGGAGGATGATGTTGTAAGCTTATTAGTAAGGCTAATCAAGCTTTATAGTTGCTGTCTACCATACTATCGCTCCTAATTTTAGAGTCGATAGTAATGAGGATGAAGATACTACTTCCGGTTTATATACTTACGCTATCGTTAGAACTCTATTAACGATTATATAGCCTACCCTCACCATACTTACCTTACCTAGGGGGCTGAATATAATATCTTTTGTCTAGGTTGTATCTAGTCTATGCTTGCTGGAAAGAGCGATGGCTGGTGCTTTGATATCGTTAGATGTAGGAAATGCTGCTTTGGCTATACTTCTGGCCATTTGTATATGCCTATTCCTGCCGCTGCTTAGTAAACGGTCGGTCTTCTATATACTACTCTATAGTGAAACCTTCCGACTTCTAACGTCGTAAGTAAACTTAAAGACAAGCTTTAAGATATACTTATCTTATACTATTAATATGCTTATTACTGATGGTGATTATATAGAAGAAGAATCGTTTATATATTATTTTATATATAGTGCTTGATAATGTTCCTATGGTAAGGAACGAGCAAGAGAATAAGGTTGGTGAGTTTAGGGAGGAGGAGGATGATAAGGAGGAGAAGTTTGAGAATAGGCTGGATGTTACTATACTCCTCCCATACGTTTAAGCTATATATATGATCATTTATAGTATAATTGAC